AAAAAGCTGTGGGTTACCCCAACCCCACCAAAAAAGCAAAATAATTATAATAATTTCATCCTGAATCCTATCTAATATTCATCTTAATTAAATTCAAGCCAAACAAAGCTTCATTTATTTATTAAAAAACTAGCTTTATAAGCCTAAATAAAGCTATTACAACTAATATTAATCTAATATCCAATAGGAAATTAGACACGTGAGTGACGAAGAAAACAGTCAAAAGAATATTTTTGGATCGTTCAAATATCTCTACATATTCGTTGTTTCTAAATTATAAATTAAAGAAAGAAATAAACTAAAGTTGAAAGAATAAAGTTGATAATAAAAAGTTATAAGAAGCTTACGTACAAAAATATCTTTTAAACTTAAATTGATATATGCTAATTAGTGTCAGCATAGGGATTAAAGGGGACCGATTAGACTAATTAATTAATTAATTGATTAGATGAAAAAAAAATTATTAGAGAAAATGAAGTAAAAGTTGAACAATTGGGAGAGATGATTGCCACTTGAGATGCTGCATGTGTTTGAGAATCCAGCTCCCATCATACTCACATCAATTAAATATTTACTTGCTTTCACTTGCATTTTTTAAAAAAATTTCATAATAGTTAATTTACCAACTTTGGCTTTATTACAATGTTGTCATTATTAATCAATAGCGTATTACAAACATCATATTGACACTACAAAGAAGAAATCAGTATGTGTTTGAGCTAGAATTTGAAATTTATTTAAATTAAGATTATTAAATTTGTTCGAATATATATCTAATTCTATAGCTCTAATTTTGCCTGAAAAAATAATAGGTGACCTGTAAAATAAGGTGTATAAATAATATTTTTAAAGGTCACATATAATTTGTTTTATCCTATTATTAATTTCTTGTTTAGTTAGATGGCTTGCATAATTATAAAATAATCCTGCATCACATACTATATTAATATAAGAAAAGTTATATTATTAAATCATAAATCTATTCATTTGAAAAATAAGATAAATTACACAACTAAAATTTGAAAATAATTCTCTTTTTGTAATGATTAATAAAGTTTTAAGTTATATAGAGTAAATTTATAAAAAGAATGTATATCATCAATCATTTTAATCGGTTGTAGCATGTCATCTCTATCTATATTTTTTTTCTATTAATAGTTATGTATCATTGTAAGTGAATTTAACCTAATTGTTTAATTGCTTTGTATATTGACCATGAATAAAATATAAACTCTATGATTAAAAAATATAAAAAGAAGCTAAGTTTGGAATTAAAGTATGAACCGCCGCGATTCTACATGTCTACGTCAAAACTTTCCAAATATAATATATAGCAAACTGATTATTTTATAACAATTTTGTTGTGTGTATTGAACAATTGACATATATTATAAGAAAGAAAAAATATTCAAATACATTATCAGTAAGTTGCACTATTGCTATTTGGGAACTCAACAGTTCTCTTTGCCTAATCAAAAAAAAATTAAAATATTTTTATTAAAGAGATTGTGATAACACAAATTGTTGATAATTTCTTTTATATATATGTACATATGTATATTTTCAAAAGATGTGCAAAATTTAAACTGAACAAGTAAAAATGAATGGATGATGTATTTGAAATTAGATATGCAAATGCATTAAATTGATTTTTTTTAATACACATATATGATATCGTGAAACTCAGAAATATTATAAAATACATATGCAGAGAAGGGTAGGGACAATAGAGGGGGAGAGGTGATCAAAAGAATCAGTGTATTTCATATAAATACGAATCACACGCTAGAATTGAGTGTATCTAAAACAAGTTTCACCTAATTAAACTAGCGTCTGTTTGAGGTACATTGTCATATACATAATACATGTACCCAAAACAATATTTTTTTTCTTTGGAAAATAATAGTGTACTTTGTGTTATATCCTGTTATCTTTTTTAATGAGCAGGATTGTTCTTCAAACAGAAGTGCAGAATTGGGCCTATGTCCTCAACGGCCCAGTTAATAAATCATGGTCCACATGCCAACAGAAAATAGGCCCAGTGAGGCATTGTACAAAACTCACACAAGTATTTTAACAAAATGAATAGTAAGTAAACTTCTTTTATTAATCTTGTAGTAGCCTATAGAATCAAGTATCGTATATAACATTATTGCATCTCAAAATAAAAGATTTCATTGTACAAACGGTCTTGAATAAGTTTGATTTTCAAAGTTTGATCAATCACGCTATATAATATAAGTCTCGAGCTAAAAGCTTTTTCCGGTGCGTTTCGCAGAATTAAGAATAGTGATTATAGCCATGGTAGTAAAACCAGCTAGAAGGATTCCACTGGCAATAATTCCATTGTCAAAAAACTTGTCACCCTTCTCCCTAAATTCTACACGTACTTCATCTTCTTCATTTATGTCTATTGATTCGTCTACAAAGTTTTTTAATTCAATACTGACGCCAAATCCTACACCAACTCCACTAGCCAATAAAAACGCCATCACCTGCCAATTTTGTTCAACATTTCACATGTTATACAAAAAAAAATACATTAATTTATAGAGTCATCGCTCTATATGTAAGCTGGTTGAAGGTAGCACGTATCGAGTGGCTGATACTAGCTTAAAAGATTTGTTGTTCCATATACTTTCATAATAATAAACAAAACTTTCTTTTGTATCGTTTATGAAATGATTTATAGGCAAACAAATGATTAAAATTAAATTTTAAAATACAAATTTCAAAAGTTTTATTATTTTTCTTATATTCTGTGTTGAGCTAAATAATATCAATATAAATTGGAACCGAGAGAATACTTTACGGTAATCATTTATAAGTATTAAATATTAGAGAGCCATTTGTAGACAGTGATAGTAAATAGAGTCATTATTTTTATGAGGGAACTTGTATAAATTTGCTAGTTGAAGAGCTGGATAAACTTTATTTTGTAATATACATATCTTACCAGATTGGTGCATCCAGATACGTTCTTATACAGTATCTTAAGATATATGGGGTCAAATTTGTTCTAGATACATTATATTGTATCAAAATGGATTCACTTATATCTGAGATACATAGGAAATTTTGCTCACCTCCTTCGCCTCTCTCCTATCTCGTTCACTACGCTCTTATATATCTGTTTATCCCAGATACCTACAAATACATGTATATAGTGTGTATCTAGTGATATTCACATGTATTTCGGATACATAACAAAAAATTTCTCGTCTCGCTTCTTATCTCGCTTCACCTTTCGGGCTATTTTAATGTATTCGATAGCAAAAATACATGTATCTAACTATATCTTTCTCGATATATGGAAGGAAACGGTTAATTAATGGTAAAAATGTACTCCATCCGTCCCATATTATGTGATACTTTTCGCATTTCGAGATTTAAACGAGTATATTTTTGACTGCAAGCTTTTAAGATCCTTTTTAACATTTTGAATTATCAATTATTGTGACTTATAGTACTCTTTTACATAGTTTACAAATATATAAATTTCATTTAAAAAAAATTGGAGATTCCATACACAGATGTTCAATCAAAATTAAATTGTTTGACTTTCGAAATACGAAAATTGCCACATATAATGAGACAAAGAGTATAATATTTTGAAAATAAGGTAATAATAATATCTATCATAGTTAAATATATCTAATCACATACTAGTTTTTTTTTATAGGTAAGTTGTTGAGTTGTGATAAGAAAATTAACTTTATCTTCGTAAAAATCAAACATCGGTAAAAATTGTCCACTGATCAACCTCTTTCCTTTGATAGCTTGATACAGTGAGAAAGGCAGCTGAATCAATGAGTAAAGAATTTCCCCTGCAGCAATAGCTAACACATACCTGTAATTATGAGATTTATTTTTTAAAAAAAAATAACCATGAGATTGAATCATAAATATTGACAATTTTATATACAGATGTACATTTTAATTTGATCTAATTAAACATTTTAACTTTAAAAATACACCTCCATTCGTCTTTACTATGTCTTATAAAAGAATTCAACGGTAACGTGACACATAAATTATTGAAGATGTCTATTATCGTTTTAGGCAGAAAGCCTAATAAGTTGGTTCAATCTAAAGCTGCCCAATTTGGACTGGAGTCTGCACATATAGTCCAAATGGGGTTGGATTGGGTTTATTTGCTATAATCACAATAAGTAAGAAATTTGTGTTATAAAAAACTGACTTTCTCACTAATTTTTTATCGGACCAACTCACTGGAAGATGCTAGAATTTCGTTAAAAAATAAAAAACGAGGGATCGAGTCATGACCAGTAGCCTCTGATGCTAGAGAAATTAGTTTCCTGGCCATTTTGAATAGTGAATTTGTTGAAAACTATAATTGCAATTGCAGCTTTGCACGTCAAGAGAGTCAGTATCCTCAGAACAACAATGGAAAAATTATTGTAAACTTAGACTTTCCCATTTTTTTTTCCTTCTTCCCTTGACAACAATTAAATTTTTAATCCTCACCTTGTATAATTTTATTTTATTTTTGGTTGAACACCTAGTATATTTTCAAATAATAGAGAACAACCCTTTATAGTATAGATATACACACTAATAGTTAGGGTACTTAATAAACGTCGTAGCGTTTTTCGAAATAGCTAAAAGAAATAAAAAATTAAAAATTGTGTAGCCGGACGAGAACGTCAGAGCAAGAAATAGACAATCTTTTTCCAATTTAAGTAAATATGTCAACAAGAAAACATGTAATATATATTTGAGTGTGATAATTACAATTTATAAATTTTTAACTTTGCTTTAAAATGAAATTGTTTTTGACTTTGAACGATTGATATATTTGCTCTTTTATCTTGGGAAATGTTTGTTTTACTATTCACATTTTATATTCTGTCTTTATTTAAAGGTACTCATTATATTTCAAATGTATTACACATGATCAAAATGAAAAGATTATAGAAAAAAAGATGACAATAATTAAAAATAAAGCTCAATTAATTGCTCATCTAATGATATTTAAATTAAAAGCCTCTTCCATTGCGGTTGGCAGAAGTAAGAATGGTAAGTATAGCCATTGTAACAAAACCAACAAGGAGTACTCCACTTGCAATACTTCCTCTGTCTACAAATTTCTTGTTTTTGTCTCCAAATTCATCAAGTCCACTTGCTCCTAAACTTTCCAACCCATCCACTAATTGATCTATCAATAGTTTCAGTTCAATACTCACACCAAATCCAACACCAACTCCACTTGCCAAGAAAAATCCTATCACCTGCAAAATTAATTCTCCAGATTTAAATCCTATGGAAAGCAGTAGATCACTCAGTCAACCTTTACTGTCGTGTTCAGAAGATTCAAAATCAATATTTATACATAAAAGAATGTCGAGAAAGTTTGGTGATCCCTAATGGAAAGCATGTGTATGATCTTTGTACATTAAAAATATTTTTGGATAGACTTCTAACTTACGGCTTATACATTAACCTTTAAGTTATTTCAGTTTAAAAACAAAAGTACTATATATGGTAAAAGCTATTTTGTCTTAATTGTATTAAAGACTGGGCACAAACCTTATCTCCGTAAAAATCAAACACGGGGAGAAACTGGCCATTGATCAATCTCTTTTCCTTCACAGCTTGATACAATGCGAAAGGCAGCTGAATTAATGAATAAAGCACTCCCCCTGCTGCCGCTGCTAACACATACCTGTACTTAAATTAAATTATTAGCAAATTTACAGATTTAATTACCAAAATAACAGAATTTTTTTTTTCCCAATTACCTGTAGCCTTTGATGTCACTGAATTTGGTTTTGTCACCATCAAGTGTAAAGTTGTTAGTAACAATAAGTACACCTGCAGCTGCGCAGGCCGATAGAGTAAGTATTCTCAGCACAACAATTGAGTTGATTATTATACGTTTAGACGTAGCCATTCGATCGATTCGCGCTTAGTTTTAATTTCTTATTTCCTTAGTGACGATTAATTTTAAATGATCAGCATTTTCCACATGCTTTTATACACCACTTAAACATTGTTGAATTGGTTAAAATTAAATAAATTTTCTGAATAAGGTCATTTTAGCCGGACGTGAATGTCAAAGAAATTACAAAAAAAAAAAGGCATGTAGATTTTGTAGTTTACAAATTAGATTATAGTAAGAGCTTTGAACAAGCAAGGAATCCAAATAGATGCATATTGCAAAGTGTTACGATCGAAACAAAACAAAATAATAAGACACGTAATAACTTGTTTATAAACACGAAAACAACAATTTTGGACGGAGGTGTAGACATCCATTATATCCTAGTTAGTGAACCGATTATATACATTTTATTAAATTCATATTATATTATACATTTTTTTTTATATAAGATAGAGACATTATATATAATGATTTCCCCCTATATATACTATGGTATGGTAAGCATATATATTGGACTACATGATATAAATATTTTCAGAAGTCATATATATATTTTTGTATTATAAAAAAATGACATATGGTCTTAGTTTTATGGAAATTGCAGAAAAATGAGATATAAAGTAGTATTTTCGGTGGCAACATTTTATTGGACATGGAGTTTAAGAAATAAATGAAGATTTTGAAATGTTTATCAAATTACCCTTCAAAAGTATATGTATTAGAGTACTATTTTAAAAATGAAGTGGGACCAACCAGGGTACAAGAGAAATTGTATTTTTAAATACTTATCATAGAAATGTGACATTCTTTCTGGAATTGACCGAAAAGGAAATATATCACATAAAATGGGACAGAGGGAGTAATATTTTACAATGACTAGATCTGAAGCATTTTGCAGCGCGTTTCGTTCGTTCCTTGCTTCGAGAATTATAAAAGAAGAAAATTTATTCGAAAAAATATTATTTGTCATTTATTTATTTTTGTTTCTCTTTTGAATTCCCACATCGAAAATGGATGAGAATTTGGTCTCCTTATATGAATTTAGACAGTCCTACCTTCATAAGTTAGCATTCAAGGTTGAGTTAAACCCAAAATTCATCTGCAAGGATATATTCTTCTTGGGTTGAAACGAAATATAGTTATTGATTTTTTTTTAAATAGAATAATTTTTATATTTTATAAAAAAAATATTCTATCTATTTTTGTGATCTCAACTATTTCCTATCTATCCTTTTCGGTCAGTTTATCTGGAATGCATACTAGTTATGAAGAGGTTGTTTATAGAATATGAGAGAATTATATTAAAAAAGATTATTTGTATTTAATTGTAATTTAGCGCATTGTAAATTTGCAACAGCTAGTTAGTAATTATGTTATCGGTAGTTTTTATTAAAATATATATCAGATTTTAGAATAGTATATTATTTAGTTCATTATAATTAAAAATAGTTATTGTGTATTAAAATTATTATGAATATTTTTTAATAAGTCTTAAAGCTTATATATATAAATCATATTCCATATTAATTTTTTTTTAAAAAAAACAGAGAAACTCTTTATTAATTTTAACACTGGGATGTTTTATTATTAGCTTTATGACATAATAGCGAAAACAAATATTCAAAGAAAAGTCGAAGGATATTCATCAAAAAAGACGTGACCGAATTATATATACCTATGATTATTCTCTCACGTCTTCTCCAAATCAATCAAAGAATAGAGAAAGAGAAAATCAAATAGAAATACTAATCAAAGTATTATTGCTCACGTCTCTTCATTTGAATCTTCTTGTATAATTGCGCTTTTTCAATTTATTTTACTTGTCATATTTTTTTTTTCTACACGTTAAAATTAACTTAACAAATAATTAAATTAAATTATAATTTATTTACCTGTTGATCTCAATTTAATAATACATTTTTTTTATTGTTTTAATATCTCTATGCATGTATTGATTAAGAACAGAAATGAAACAAATAATTAATTATATCGCGATTTTCAATAACCAAACAACTAAAATAGACCAGAGGTGTACGTAGTAGTTTTTTCTTCTTCTAGTTTGTTCAAATGTAATTTGTTTCTTACTAAACATACCCATTAAGAAATAAATGAATCGTGTGCGATATATATATTTGTTGTCATTTCAAAGATCATCAGTAATAAGACCTTTACAACTTTTTTTGAAACTTCACTATACAAATTATCTGGCATTTATTTTTCAAGTGTGTTTCTTCACTCAATCTTTTAGATTTTATTTTAAAATCGCGATTTTGTAAATGGAAGAAACAATGCACGTACCAGAAGTTGTACTCAACTGTGGCTACAAAATGCCTTTGTTAGGCATGGGAACTGCTGCGTATCCCATGCCGATAGATGACTTGACATCTATTTTGGTTGAGGCCATTGAGACAGGATACCGCCATTTTGACACCGCCGCGCTTTATGGGTCAGAGGAGGCCGTGGGGAGAGCAGTGGCGGAAGCAATAGACCGAGGCATTATAAAGAGTCGCCAACAAGTGTTTATTACTTCTAAGTTATGGTGCACCCAGGCACACCCTCAATTTGTCCTTCCTGCTCTCAAAAACACACTTGGGTATACTAATAATGTTAGACCTTTTATTTATTTATTATTAAATGATCGATTATCTTTTTTTTTTAGTTTTAAATTGTTACAATGTCCTAACTCAAAGTAGCTCAACATTAACATTAACATTAACAATTGGAGCTAGATCTGTTCTAGTTGTTGGTTTGACAGAACTTAATAATTTTGTATAGGTACGAATAAATCTATTGAATATGTATAAATTTTTGTAGAACTCACTAAGTCATCTAGAGTTCATAAATAATGAGAGGTTAAGCCAGGTGTGAACTTCATGGATTCTTATGGTGTTAATAACTATATGATTTATGTTTTATGGTTTAACCCTAAATGAGTTTATGTAGGAAATTGGGGCTAGAGTATGTTGACTTGTATTTAATACATTGGCCTGTAAGTATGAAACCAGGACCAGTTGATATGCTCAAATTCAAAAAGGAAGATATTGTTCCTTTTGATATGAAAGGGGTATGGAAAGCAATGGAAGAGTGCTGCAGGTTGGGCCTAGCAAAGTCTATTGGTGTCAGCAATTTCAGTTGTACCAAACTCTCACAACTCCTCCAAATTGCTAACATTCCTCCTGCAGTTAATCAAGTTAGTATTGTGGACATATTTTGAATAGAGTCATGTTTTACATATACTATTTAGAGTCAAATGTATGTTTCTATCGTTTGTTTGAACGTTTCATGATCAGGTAGAAATAAATGTGGCATGGCAGCAGCAAAAATTACTAGAGTATTGTAAAGAGAAAGGTGTTCATGTAAGCGCTTACTCTCCATTGGGATCCAAAGGTGCCTCTTGGAATAGCCCAATCATCAATGACATCGCAACTGCTAAACAAAAGAGTATCCCTCAGGTCTTTTTCCAAATTCTGGAAGTGATTAATGGATTTTAAACTTATTTGCAGGGATGAAAATTTTAGGGTCTTCGTTACAAAGGAAAACATTATTTTAAAAGTATATACTATATATATAACCTGGACAAATATTATTGGGGTTGCGTAGTAGAGATGAGGTTGACAGATTTAAAGGAGGTGAATTGGGGTTGCATAGTGGAGATGAGGTTGACAGACTTAAAGGAGGTTAGAGTGAAGATAAGTGTGTTGGAAGATAGAGAACGGACACAATAAATATGAAATATCATTTGTTGACAAACTCAATAGGGATGTCATTTTTAAAAAAAAACTTATCTTTTAAAAAATTTGACCAATCGAACATGAGAAAATTGACAAGTAAACTATACTTTCAAATATTTGTAGGTGGCACTGAGATGGATATATGAACAAGGGGCAAGTGTGATAGTGAAGAGCTTTAACAAAGAGAGAATGAAACAAAACCTCGAAATATTTGATTGGGAACTTAGCAATGAAGATAATTTCAAAATTCAAGATATACCTCAGAAAAAGGGATATAACGGAGAGGATTTTACTCATCCAAACGGCCCCTATAAATCTGTGGATGAAATTTGGGATGGAGAAATCTGAAACTTCATCAAGTTCAGCGGCATAGTGTAATTTACATAACTTTCCTGCTATACTTTTTCTCATTGAATAATTGCCATGCACCTTAATTAGCTGTGTCAAATTAAACTCTCAAACTCTTGGGATATTGTGCTGTTACCTTTCTAATTTACCTTATATCCATTGGCCCTTGCGCTCATGAGGCCTCTAACAGACCGGCTTGCGGGCACCTGGACTACACTTATTTCACAAACTACAGAGAACAGAACAATCAAGTTAACAAAATTCATCAACATCAATACTAAAACAAACCGCAACACACAACAGAACGTTACACTTGCAGCAACCAGCAACAGAATTTTCTTCAATTAGTAATCTAAATAGTTTAGAAAATTACGCGTTCCCAGAGGCTCATGTCTATCTTAAATTAGTAAAGAAGCTTATCTTCCAGCCTAACATATGTACAATGAAGCACAAGCCCTTCAACATACTTTCCAACATCTACTATGAACAAGTGTAGAACCAGATCCAAAGTCAACAGCCTAACAATATCCCAGTGTGCAATGTCCACGATGCAACTTTAGAGTCCAATCTCTAAATAAGCTTTTTTATCGAACATCAGATGTTTTGTATGTCCGGGTAATTCGGATCTGAAGCAAATAATACACAAGGTTGCTTTTAAAAACTTATCGACACATAGTTGAGTAGGAAAAACATTTACAGGATCATAACTTTCATTGTTATGCATTACAAGCTCAAAAGCCTACATCCACTACTGCACTAGCAACCAACACAAATAACTTTTCAGTTTTCAAAGAAGATAACACAAGACTTAAGGGCAACAAAAAATAAGCACTTAAAAGAAAAGAAACAAACAAATCAAAGATCATGGGGATTTGAACATGGCAGTGGAAACTTAATGCTGGGAGTCCATAAATCCTACGGTTATAATTCTTTCGTCTTCCTTGAAATGTCCAAAGCTAACAAGTTATGAAACAATGATATATATAGAAGATGATACAATTAACTCCAAAAGATTAATTACTATTCATGTGACTCGCACACTTGAAAAGATGAACGATGTGAGTTGTGCTACCGTAGCAAGACTTAATATTTTCCTTTTTTGAAAAAAGAACCTTAAAGTTTATACTAACCAAGAGGAGTGCAGGGGCGGCTCAACACAATTCGAGGCCTAAAGCGACATTTTAATTAGAGGCCTAAATATTTTTTAAAAATTCTTTGTACTAATATATATGTTTACTCGCACACTTGAAAAGATGAACGATGTGAGTTGTGCTACCGTAGCAAGACTTAATATTTTCCTTTTTTGAAAAAAGAACCTTAAAGTTTATACTAACCAAGAGGAGTGCAGGGGCGGCTCAACACAATTCGAGGCCTAAAGCGAAATTTTAATTAGAGGCCTAAATATTTTTTAAAAATTCTTTGTACTAATATATATGTTTTAAAAAAAATTTAGATGTAAATTATTTCTTAATATCCTTTTTATAAATGATTTTTTCAAATACTTTTTTAAGATATTATTTTTTAAGCAAGATTTATTAATTCTACATTGAAAACATTATTTTATTGAGAAAATTATTATATGAATCGAAGATATAGTTTTATAAGTAATAAGTTCATAAATTTTAAATAAAAATAAGAGTTAGAATTATAGAATCTGATTCAAAAAGTTGATAACTTGATATATCTTACTTTATATAAAAATTACGAAGAAATAAAAGAATATTTGTAATTACTTTGTTCAAACACTTTTCAGCTATTGATTCATATTTTAGACAGAATATTACTCTAATTATCAAAGATTTGAAGAAATAGAGTGCATAAGGAGTTTTAAAAAAATTAAAAAAATGAGTATTAGCAAAAAATATATATATTTATATTTTTTATTATGAATAATTAATTCTTTTAATGAAAAAATTAAACATGATTTTTTATTTTATAGAAATTTGGGGCCCCAAAAAATTGGGGGCCTAAGGCAGTGGCCTAAAAAATATTAGGCAAGAGCCGGCACTGGAGGAGTGAAGATGAAGCTGTTTAATTCCTCATTCAACTTATTTTAGCATTAATTTGTCCAAACTTGCTAATTCAGTATCACTAACTTCTACTGAACTTATTTTGGAAATCCTTCCATCAATCAATCAGTTACACCTCATTAACAAACTAGTTGGAGTTGGCTATATAAATCCCCTCTATCAATTCTGCTATATGCAGCCCATCTCATTCCAATACTAATCAAAGGTAAATTAGGGCCTATATATCTCATGGTTATATTTAAACAAACAACAAATCTCTAAAGATTAATCTTACGACCTCTTCCCCCATTTTAAAAGAGTTGGCACTCCTATATTTGAAGATTCAAGCATGAAAGCATATTACCTGTGCAAATGCATAAATAGCTCGCACGATTCTAGCATAATCAGTTCCAAGCATTTGAATGACAACATCTGCTAGAAGTGTTCCCCACAGACTGCATAAAGTGGATCACAGACGGTGTAAGAAGAATAACAGGAGATATACAAAACCAGACCACCTGAGAACTGAATACATTTCTCCACCCTCTTCATTAATAGAGAAAGCAATTGGCAACAACGTCACAAGAAGAAACTAAGTAAAAGAGTGAACCATATTTACAAGGAGTTTCCTAACAGCACAAACCTACAGAGGCAGTTCGAAAATGAAACATCTTTTCCAAGTGAGATGATTATGGAAATAGCTCCAGGAAAACATTCAAATTCTTTACCAACTATATAAACCAAATAATAGAAAAAATATGCAGAGTTCTGTTATAAGCTACAGCTACAACAGAGTAGAGACTAGGGTCATAAGGCTCAAAATTCATCATTCAATCATACATTATTGAATTTTACGAGTATACTTTACTGCTGGAAAGTCTTAAGTCGAGACATTTGCCACTTGCATCAGTCAGTTCAATCGAAATGACTATAATATCCAATATGACCACGGAAGACAGAGTAGGAAATCTTGACAACCGGAAAATCCAACATAACCTATGACTTCTCCCATGTACTTGGCCCCACAAATCTGTTAGGTAACTGAAAACACAAAGCTTCAATTTAAATTTTGCAATACTGCAAAAGAATATACAGATCCATTTATCCTTAATTTCAATACCAAAATGATCCTTTGTTAGTCCAGGTGCTTACATAACATGGAATAAGTTACAACTCAATTCCAGACTAGTTCAGCAAGCAATATAAATTCTCAGTATTCATTCCACTTCATTTGAAGCCCAATATGTATTTTTTGTTTATTAGACAAACTAGGGGTTCTCTGTCCGTGTCAAACTTGGTTCAAATAAGTGAACCGGCCCAACCTGTATAAGTTTGGGTCTCTCAGGTTGGACATAAATTCATTGATAGGTGAATTCGGAGACAAACTAAATTAACACATCTAAAAAAGTATGTAGTCAATTTTGACTATCAAGGTAGCCAAAATTTACTCATAACAAGATTATCAAAATACTTGAGATTAGTTTGTGCTCATCAGACTCTCTCTCAATATAAAAAAAACAAAAGTTGTCACTTTAATCCAGTGCTGTATAACAAAACTGACAAACAAACAGAAAATTATCATGAGAGATAATTTTGATAGGCGGGGTATACAAAATTATAGCTAAGCTGCTAGCTGAGAGGTTGAAGAAAGTAATCAGCAAACTGGTAAACAAACATCAAATGGCATTCATAAAAGGCAGACTGATCATGGATGCTGCCCTTATTGTTAGCGAATGTGTAGATACTAGACTTAGAGGGCTGAACCTGGAGTTATGTGCAATCTAGACATTGAGAAGGCATATGATCATGTCAAAAATGGGAGTTTTTGCTCAATATGTTAAAACAAATGGGGTTTGGTGAGAGATGGTTGAGATGGATTGAGGTCTGTATAAAAACTGTTAGGTTCTCCATTCTGATAAATGGAGAACCTACTGGTTTTTTTCCCTCAGAAAGAGACAGGGAGACCCTTTGTCCCCTTTCCTTTTCATCATAGCCATGGAAGGATTCAATAGTATATGTTTGAGGGTGGCTACTCAAAACTCATTGTTGCAAGGATTCAAAGTACGCAATCTCTCAGGGGTGGATATGCAGATTTGTCACTTGCTTTATGCTGACGACACTGTCATATTTTGTAAAGCTAAGGAGGAAGAAATTAGAATTGTCAGAATGATATTGGTAGTCTTTAAGGCGGTCTCGGGCTTGGCAGTCAATCGGAGGAAGAGTTGTATATATCCCATCAAAGAGGTTACACAGGCCTTAGCAAACATTTTGCTGTGCAGAATTGAAAAACTCCCAATTGTTTACCTAGGTATGCCACTTGGAAACAACCATAAAGAGCTAGTGATATGGGATGGTATAATATAATTGAAAAAACTGAGAAGAAACTGGCAAACTGGAAATCTCAATATCTATCCCTTGGTGGGAGAACTATTCTGATAAACTCTCTACTAGACTCTTTACCTACCTATGTGATGTCCCTATTCCCTATGCCAGCCAAAGTGGAAGAAAGACTTGATAAATTAAGGAGGGATTTTCTTTGGTCGGGAATCAAGGAAGTTAAAAGAATACATCTTGTCAAATGGTAAACTGCTTTGCTGAGTAGAAGCTCAGGGGGGTTTGGGATCAGAAACTTGGGGCTACAAAACAAGTGCTTGTTGGCAAAATGGTTTTGGAAGTTTGGAAGAGAGATCAAGTACTTTTGAAGGAAGTTATCAGTAACAAGTACGGCCAGAATAGCCCATGGGTTTTCGATATGGTGAATATCCTATATGGTGTCTCAGTGTGGAGAACTATCAGAAATTTATTGGGCCAACTACAACACAATATTACATACAAAGTGGGGAATCGGAGCAGGGTTCTTTTCTGGAAAGATCACTGGATTGGTCAGGACTCCTTGATGTCTTCCTATTCGGACATATATATCCTCAGTTCGTCTCCAGATGCAATGGTAAATGAGGTATGGTCTGAACAAGGGTAGAATTTCAGCTTCAGAAGGTTACTAAATGACTGGGAGATAGGGAGAGTAGCTGAGATGCTACAAACACTGGATGATTTCAAGGGCACAAATCTGGAACTTGATGTAATGATTTGGAAACACAATCATGATGGTATGTTGTCAGTCAGCAGATTGAACAGTAGGAAAGTGAAGGAACTTCAAGGGGAAATCTCTGGACCATGGAGTAAGGTATGGAAAAAGCCAGGTAAAGTGAGGTGTTTCGCATGGCTAGTGACTAGAAGGGCATGCCTAACTCATGAGAAGCTGCAAAGAAGAGGCTTTGAAATAGCTTCCTGGTGTTAACAGTGTAATGAGACAAATGAGACTAATAGCCATCTATTCCTCCATTGCAAAGTCACTGCTCAATTATGGGCCATTTTTCTAAGCAGAACACACACAAACTGGGCAATGCCAGAACACACTGCAGACCTTCTCAGTTGCTGGGTGAGAAGAGGGGGGAGTAAGAGCCAGAAGAAATGGTGGAATATGATATTCTCTTGTATATGGTGGACTATTTGGAGAGAAAGAAACAAGAGGTTATGGAAAATACTGCAGAATCAGTAACAAAGATCAAATGGCATTGTATGAAGACCTTCTATTTTTGGTGTAATGAGAAGGGTATAGAGGATGCTGGACAGATTTTAAACTTTTTCTCTTCTTTATAAATATAGTAGCGATTTCTTGAGTTGGTTTTTTTTGGGTCACTGATGTAAATCTTTTTGATGGTTGCCAGCATACCCTCATTGCTGAAGAATACAACTTTACTTGATCAAAAAAAAAAAAAAAGAGAGGCAATTTGGTTATGACTCACCGCTTTGGCCCACATTGACCTAACCCATCTTAACCCTACCAAACTTTGGACGGGTTGAATCATGATCAATTCATTGCTCAACCCATTTTAAAGCATCCAAACTTTCAGCCTTTTATTTGACACCCCTAAGGTTTTCTAACGTTAGAGGTTTTCAAACTTATATGTATATAAGTTGTTGAACCTTTTTCCTAATAGCATGATTCTCTTTTTTATGAGACAAGGATTCTTAAATCTAAAAGAGTTACTGGGTCCAGCTAAACAAATTGAACATAGAGGATTGACATGAATGGGAGCAAGATGTCAGTTGTGGATCTACAACTTAGGGAAGAGGATTGTTGTTTCCAGTACTCTCTTCATAGAAAAGAGATGAGTACTCTGATGACAGAACAATTTCAACAATCGACATTAAGGCTACAGAAACTTTAGTTAAGAGGAAGGCAATTAGAAGAACTAAGTGATCACTCTAGCAGATATAAACAAGTGAGCAAATAGATTTTTCCTGAGAAACTAAAATCGTGAAAGACATGGCAGTGTTCCAGCACAAAGGAGATTACATTGGGCCGAGAAATGTCATCATGCTCCTTAAGCCAAAATAACGGGAGGCAGCACCTGCTAAGCCCTGTCAAAAACCAATAACAATGAAATGTAAGCATGTACTTAGAACTCTAAAGAAATCATAGTTTTTGAAGCAGAGCCTGAAAGACAATTAGTAAGACCATCATAACAGGTTTCAAAAATTATTATTATTGAAGGGTCTTTCCAAGTCACATTTTTATTTTTCATTTATCTTGTGTTGATCTGGGATGAGGATGTCATTTAACCTATAATTCAGCATTTATAGCTTGAGAATGATTAACTATCTTCAGCTAAACTGAACATAGAAAGTGTGGAGAATATCAGGAAATTAAGGAGTATGAGGCTGCATCTTTCACGAAAAAAGATCAACTTATGATCACTCTTTCTATAGCGGTATCTGTTGAACTTTAGGAGCAGTAAAACAAGTACAGACAGTAATCTTCAGTAGTAAAGCAGAATCGGCAACCCTCAAAACAGTGCATATTCATAAGTTCAAAACCTTTTTTGCAGCCAGCAAGGCCAATCTGGACTCCAGGTTAAGAGCCGCCACTTCTCCACCCTAAAACCAACAAGAGCCATGTGAAGTCATGAAAGTCATGCGAGAGAATCACAAGTTAATTATCATAACACCTCCAGTAACCAGTGCAATGCAGGGAAGACTTTATTATTATTTGTATTTGGTTTGCCAAAGACACCTATTAGTGAAAGAATAGTCTCTCTCTTATTTTTACTTCCGTCCAGGAGATTTTTGTTAAAACCTGTCTGGTTGCTTCATATGAAAAGGAATTTTCTTTCTTTTTTTTGAGAAAGTTAACTGATGAAAAGGAATTTTCTGGAAAGTCAACTTTCTTGAACCTAAACCCTTTTTTTATGCATTTCATAGCAGGGAACCTTTAGGAAAATACGGTCAAGGAAATTCATTGTCATGGATTTTTCTCCAAATTAAGTCTAGCAAGATTTGCAGGACGTATCTAGGAAACTGATCTACTCTTAATTTTAAGCTTTTCTTTTCTTCTCAAACAAATGCATGCAACAAATGTTATTCCAACGTTTACTTTTACTTGCTACGATTTCTCAAATCCACATTTCTAGCAAATTTCTTGACATCCAACGAACCTTAACTCTAGCAGATGTATCCAAGACAGTCTTAATGTATCGTCAAAATGCCAAGACTACTCAACTTTTGGATGCATTCATACTCAAACAAAATCCTTAAACAAGAAAAGTGGATTAAAGAGATGCCAGAACCCAGACCAAACAACTTCCTCTATAATAAATGGTTAAACAATCATCTTTTAATTATATATAATTATATAAATGGTTAGCCAATAAGACCATAACTCACACGTGAAAAGAAATATAGATTCAAATGTCAAAGTACATTAACTGATTCAGGAACAGTGCACATTAATTGGTTCAGGAACAGTAAAGAGACCCATTTAAAGTGTCTAGTGTCAGCTACTGTCCTCAACAAAATCAGGACTTTTAAGCACCTTTTTAAGAACTTCCCTACTAATCTGATAGTTGGCAGCCTCCAATAGCATCTTTCCTGAAAATCTCCTGGCTAACTAGAGAAGCAGTAAACATTATCTGTTGTTAAACAAGATGAAAGCACAGGATAAGGAAAGAGAATTGCAGAAATCACAAGGTATCAATTATACCCCGCTGTATATCTTCCCCAATGTTAGCACCCCTCCACCCTAAAACACAAAGATCGTGTTAGCTAATGCATAACCAAAAGGCTCAAGAGAGGTACAAGCTTCCAAAATATAAGTAGACACCTTTAATATTACTGAACGAACCCCTTCTGCCCCAGCTTTTATTGCAGCAGCAGCTTGTACCTTCCACTTACTAAGTCCAAATTCTAGACTACCATGCCCGTCAGAAGCATCCAAGCTTTCTTTTGAGCTGTTGAAGATACATATTTGCCATATAAGGTCCAAATAAGAGTCAAGATCTCCACACTAAGAGAAGAAGAAGACAAATCACAGCAGAAGAAACTAGAAGAAATTCCAACATATAGACTCGAGAATGAAGGGATAACTGGTCACATCAATCTGACAACCTTGAGGCATGCCAAACCCAATAGAACTGATTAGACAGGCAAAGGAAATCGAGAGGGAGAAAACCAATAAAAACTATATATACGTCCCAATTAATAGGACACTTTCTATTTTCTGGCAACCTAAAACGTTCACAACATTTTATGACAAGGGAAATCCGAAGCGTTCACAACATTCCACTAGTAACATCATCTTTTTTAAGATGAAATCCACTAGTAACATCATTCTATACAACTTACACTACAGCTTTCACAACTTACACAAACTTAAATTCATTCTACTAATCAAATTTAAATTTTATTGTAGGGTAGTATTTTTCTATCAAATTAATTCTTCCACCACTATCTTAAAAGTTTCACTTCCATTATTTGTATAAATCAAGTCAAACAAACAGTTGTCAATTTATACCTACAAATAAAATAGTATCATCTAAAACTTGAGACTAGGAGAGTATGTGAAGTAACTAGCATAAGCATCTCAAATTAACAAAACAATATAGAAATTTCCTCTCCACAAGGCCATAACCACACCATTCCTTCTCACAGAAAACAAAAGGAAACTGATTTACCTTGAGTACTCGTGCAGCAGATGAAGAAAAATCTCAGCTTCCAGGTCTTCTGCAGACAATTTGGCTGAGCACCTTATAGTTAATTTTTCCCTGACACCAAGCAACACCTCCCTATACGATGGTCTTCTACCCCTAGATTGAATACCAAACGACATCAATCACTGACATAATGAAACAAAAATAAGAACTAAAATAAAAGAAACATGTTGGAGGTTAGGAAATGGCAAACCATTGTTTGTATAGAACTTCGGGTGATGATCACCACTTGTTTTGGTTTTATTTTCAAACCAAACTGGAGATGGATTGGATGATGATCACCAATTAATTCGGTTTCATTATCAAAGTTCATCATTCCACAAGCAACCAATAAAAATCACTCCCATTTGAACTCCACATAATCAACCACTGATTCCTTTAACAATTAGCTATCAATAGCTTGAGTTATGATGATTCCTAATTTCCAGATTGTGTCCATGCAATTTACATAAACAACCCAAATGCTATCACAAAGGTCAGGTTCGAACAATGAAGATAACATCCATTGGAGTAATTGGAGTGAAGAACATTTTGAAGTTTTTATTAAAATACATCTATTCTAAATAAAAGAAATAGAGAAACCTCAATGTGGATCGTGCATCAGCTGCAAGGTATAAAAATCTTGATTCAAGCATTGACAAAAAGTCATCCCTCTCCTCCGGGTCTTCTCCGACCATAACATAATCAAATTCAGTTCTCCTTGTAACTGACTTCAACAATGGGCTAAAGTAACTGAAACATAAAAGATACAAGAAAGAAAATTTGCTTAGAATGGTCAAAGCACCTTATTTTTCATTAGAACAGTAAAAAGGAACATATTGCAACTGTTTATTACCTTGGACCAAATAAAATTCTTTGAAGTTCATAGAGTTCAGAATCAGTTGCAAGTTCAAGCACAGAACGAAGATCCGGATCAACTTCGCTGCTGCCACTCTCCTCTGTGGTATATTTCACAATACATAAGAAATTCACAGTAAAACTACCAGTAATGAAGAGAAAGCGTAAGATGCTTTAAAAATATACCTCGAGATTGACTTGAAAGTAAGGCACGGGCAGGATTTAAGAGGATCCTTGAGCCGGAGCTTCGACGGCAATATAATTTGATAATCTAAAAAACATAAAAGTAACAGAGTTCATATAGAGTAATTACACAAATACATGTGAAGTGGAATTCAGAGGAAACAGCAGGTACAGAATCGACATTCTCAATTACTCATACTGGAAAATACACCTCGAGAATATGGAAGTAGAATTTACTTTTTGACGAGAGAAAGTGGTGAGTGGCCAAGTGACAGGGAGGAGAAAGGGAGCTTGAGGTAGATAGCCAAAATGAAGTGGCCGCCGGTGTAATTGGTAGTTCAGTGGAACGGAGTAGAAAGCTCCGGCGGTAGCCATTGTTGCGGACACAGTCTGCTCAGTTCTGTGAGTCAGTGACCACGCAAGCATATGGCCGAAATGGGGATTTATTTAAATTGACAGAAATACCCCTAATAATTTTCCAAAATAAGTAGTTAAATGCTGTATTTTTATTTACTATTTATTTTGGAATAATACAACATTTACTATTGGAAAATAAGAACCAAAATAATTTTATAAAATATACCGCCTAAACATAACATATTTATACGTCGTACTCTCTTTTGTTTCATATTACTTGATCAAGTTAACAAATTGATGTGTCCTCAAAAAAGCTTTAATAAAGATGTTTTATTAATGATATTTTGAAACTTTAAATTTGACTATTTCTACTTTAGAGAGTTGTTAGTACTAAAGCAGAAAAATATGAGAAAATTCTCTTGAACTCTATGGCACCGATGATTGATTTGCGAAAAGATGGCACAAAAAGAAATGTTTGGAAAATGTGTTATTCTTTAGCATATTATATGGATGAATATATATTGACAGAAACAAAAATAATTTATTTTATTTGGAAACAAGCCTTCTACTTTAATCTTAAATATTCCATTATAAAGTGGTATTTGACCTGAAGTTAACAAAACTAAAGAATAGTAGTAAGATCTTATTGAAGTGTAGACATACCATCAGATAACCTTTGAAGCTTAAGCCAAATGATAAATCATTCACACAAATAAGTGCATAGAATTTTAAGCAATAGCAATTGAAATATTAGTGGCAAATATAATAGGCCCTCAGTGAGAAAATAGTTAAGAATTGAAACGCTGGTCGTTCTCCAGTGGCTAACCCACGCAACCACCATATGTGTTATGCCTGTGGAAGGAGAATCCTTAAAACACCTCAGTTTTACGTACTGATCTCCGAAGAAAAGCAACATCATCCCTTCTTGTCATAGGCAGCTATATTTTGTGGTTCACATTCAGGACTAAATAGACGAACTAGCAAAGCGGTGCTTGAGCTCACAGTAACAGCCCCACAAGCTGCCCATCTAAGACTTCTAGGAACTGTGATTCTAGGACCTGTATTATTATAATACGAGATGCAATATCAGAAAAGAAATAACATGCATAATCAAGATAATAATATATAGAACAACTTTTAATTAAAAGAAGCATGCCCGTCAGAGCTCAGTACTAATCAACAAAGTCAAAGGGAGAGAGGGTTGAAAGGAGAAAGGCACAAAGAACTATAGATTGTAGGAAATTGATGCAACAACTACTTTGAGGTGCCGTATAATTATCAAAACTGAGAATATTAAATACATGCAAACACATGAAATTCCTAAGTACATGGTCAGTGGGTGGATCCACGATATTCGCTTATTGGTTCAGAAAACAAAAATGTAAGTGAGCCAAACCTCTAGTTTTGTGCTTAGGGGATTCAATATATATATATATATATATATATATATATATGTATATACAATGTAATATTTTGCAGAGGGGGTTCGGGTGAACACCTAGCCGCCTCCTAGATCCGCCCCTGATCCTGGTGACCTTCCTTAATGCATTTTAGAGATTCTCTAGCAGTAAAAGATCCAAACACTTCACACTCAGAGCTCAACAAGAACCAAACTCCTGCTTAAATGAATACGTTAAACAGTACTCAGACAAAAGTGTTCTCTCTTGATCATTGGATCAGCAAGGGTGTGATTCAGATGTATCAAGAGATGACAAGGTATGCTGTGGACTGGGAAGTGCCGAAGAATGTTGGATGCTTGAAGTCATTTTAGATACGGCCAGACAACTCAATAGGAGTAGAAAGTTGCCACAACCTAGGAGGGCAGCATACAAATCACAATATGAGTTCCAGTGAAGCCGATTAAGTCATTAGTAAAAGCCGAAGCAATGGGGTTACTAGTGTGAAGAAACTGAAACCTCGAGCTCAATGATTTTTCTAATAAAAAGATTGACCTATCATATAACTGTAGTAATGAAAGATATATCTCTAGATGATGAAAATGTACAGATGTATTCTCACTAAGTCCACTGTTCCCTTTCTTCTTCCAGCCTTGCCTTATCCGGATCGCTCTCTTCTTTAAAATCGGAAAGTATTTCTTATATTATACTTCCGCAGAAGACAAGATAACAAACCCAACTCAACTGCCAAATTCCTCTCTTTTTCTCCATTTGCCTCACAGCGGCGACAATATTGTGAAAAGGATCAATAGGCCCATCTTTACCCAAACAAAGCCACGACCATTACTACATTGATTCACCCTTTTTACAAGTAGAGGATGACAGTGAAAGAAGAAGGATACAGGGTGGCAACACATGGAGGAAGATTTAGAGCCTATGAGCTGCTATTCTGAGCCTGAGAACACTCTGAAAGACAAATTAACGAAAAACAAGGTAACTGAAGTGCGACAATCCTCTTGCAAAGCAACAAGCTGAAACAGCACTTGATCTTCAGAGAAAAAATCTTACCTTTACATTTTCTTTCTCAAAACAACATGCCATTTTAGATAGTTGATATTTGTAAAAAGCACCACACTACTAAATATTAGGATATCATTCAATAAATTAAACAAACACATGTTCTCATTGTTGTAAATTTAGTGATAAAATTCCATTTAGCAGAAAGATTAAGAACCACCAAAGGAGAAATATAAAACAAACCATAGTGCAATCGGCAAAGAATCCAAAATCCTAATGCTCCTCCAACAGAAAAAATCCCAGCAGTTTGTCTCATTAGTCTTGTGCAAGGTTTTGCATCTGATCTCATTAACTCTCCATCCGAATACCCAAGCATACGCCTTAAAGCCATCACACCAGAAACCCTGGATTACAGTGGAACTTCGATTAATGATAATGAATTTAGCAAATAAGAACTTCGCTGAGGCATTTTCACAAACAGGTTGATGGGAGTATGTAAAACTTACTCAATAATCACCAAATGCACAATTGAATCGCTGTTGCAGCTACTGAAGATAGGGCTTCTCAAAAAAATTGTTATCCTTCTCAATTACAGCTCTGCTTCCTAAAAGTGGGTTTTTATTTTTTTTCCTCAAATACTTTAGAAGAGTAGAAGGTTAAATAGGGAGAGAAGCAGCGTCATTTCAGTTTCCATAATTACCCATTCTACGGTGCTATTGTTTCAATATTTGTCTGGTTTAAAAGAGAGTATTATTTTATAGCAGTTTTTTAACTTTTTCTACATGATATATTTTACATCATAGTATTAAAAAATGTTTTGATATTTTTTTAAATATAAATATTATTTTAAATTAAAATAGAAAGAATAGTAATTAAGATAAAACTATCTCTATATTAGACTTTTTTCATATCCAAAAGTTATAAATTGACTTATACTAGAGATATGGACATTCAATTATTTAAATTTCCATTTGAAAACGAATTTGGACTTTTTTAAAAGAAAAAATTGATTTGATTCCATATTTTTTGAAAATGATTTTTCTATGCAAATGGGAAATAAAAGGAAGATCAAATTATCAAAGTATAAAGACATTAAAAAAAAAAACTTAAAAACGTTTAGTGGCAGTCAGCAAGGCAAAGTATAAAGATATTAAAAAAAAAAAAAAAACTTAAAAACGTTTAGTAGCAGTCAGCAAGGCAGCACTGGCAAATATGTAAAATAAATAAAAATGTCATTTGTGTATAGTTTGATACAAAAATTGCTCTTTGATTGGTCATATCTTATTAAGTAACATATTTTTTAATTTAATACAAAATTCTTTCTCTAAGCATGCTCCAACTATTTTTATCACTGATTATAAATATTTATTTTGAAAACTATGATTAACATGATTGAAAAATATATGACAAATAATAAATAGTAGTAGTAACATTTTAAATAAAAATAAAACAAAGATAGGACTCTTGATTCATTGCTATCTTTATTCACCGTAAATCTCTGAGTCCGAAACTCAAAGGGTAAAAAATATTAACAAAAATTTTAAAATGATATAT